ACTTGGCGATCTCGTCCGGCGTGTACTCCGACCGCGGCTTCCTTGGCGCCTTCTCCTTCACCTTTGCGGTCGGGTCGACGGCCAGGCTGCCGGAACTCGGCGGGGCGTCGGCCATGGACGGGGGAGAGAGGGAGGCGGCGGGAGGGACGTGGGAGGGTTTGGGGGAAATGGCGCCAAATGGCCGTGGGGGGGTTTTTGGTTTCTCCCACCGACAGGCGGGCCAGGGGAGGACAAGCGCGTGCGTCCCGCCCGTCCGCGCGCTGTCCTTTTCACCGCAAAACCGGCGCAAGTTTGGGCCGGGGATGGGTCGAAAGCGGACACAAAGCGGACAAAAGTCTGTTTGCTCCCGCGCGCTGGGCCGCATTTTTTGTCCTTTTTACCCCAAACGAACGGGGCCGGACAGGATAGGGTCGCGCGGTGGAGTTGGCCTCACCTACTTGCTCAGGCGGACATCCAAGACGGCGAGCAGACAAGGCGGGATTGGCGACGACACCGAGTCGTGGCTACGACGTCACACACAGTGCCGCGGAGCTGACCGGTCATGACGGGCGCGAGGTCAGCGGTTACAACGTCATGCACAGTGTCCTGGAGAGGCCACGGCTGCGACGGCTAGCCGCGGCTTCGACGGTTGGCCACAGCCGCGACGTCACGACCGACGACATCACGCACGGCCTCGCCTACTTGCTCCCGGTCACATCCCTACAATCACAGCCCCTTTAAGCCCCGCATGTGCTGAGTAAGGCATAGGTGGGGTGCCCAGCCGGATGATGGATTCTTCTAGATCCAACTCTTCTAGACTTTGAGCTCTCTAAGAGAATCTTGTACTCAGGAGTAGGGTATTATCCCATCTTGGGAGCTGGAACCAGGATAAATGTCTGTGTCCGTAAGCCATCTGTTTCTTCCATCACGCATGATAAAACACGTGAACCCCCATTACTAGATATAAATGGTTACTGCCATGACTTTCCCACGACAGTTGACGCGCCAAGTAGGGGCTATGCGTGATGGAGCTACAGAGCAGATGGTTTCACTTTGGGCTCCTCACCAGGCGGCAGAGCCAAGATCATCTTCCTCAACGTTTGTCGTCCGAAGTTCGGCGATACATCTGCCTTAACACGACAGCAAGTACAAGCGGGACGATGGGTTGCGGACAAGAGGGCAGGGAGAGCGCGTAGAGGACGAGCGTCGACAGGGGATGGAATCGTGGTGGACATGTAGTCAGGGTTGTCACGACATGCTTGTTGTGGCGGGGTCAGTGGTGGACGTGTGCACTGCCAGATATCTACCAAAAAGATCCCAAAGAATACCAAGACATCATCGACGAGTGAGAGAGGAGAGGTCAGGTGGCACATATTTTCGTCTTAGGGAACACAATAAGGTGCGGGCCAGGTGGCAAAAGCTTGGAAAAGAAAATGCAAACAGTATTGCTATTTGCAGGTTTCGAACTCTCCACGTTGAGTTCGCGCACACGTAACACAAGCCAACCGAGCTACTTGCCTTCTATGATTAGTTACAGAGGCAAATGCTTAAGCTTAATAACAAAGGACACAACGCTATTTCATTGCAGAAATCTATTGCATCACTTAATTTGAAAAAAATATTGAAAAGTTATTTGAACTCAACATTCACAGGTTAACACCATAACCACTAGGCCATCGTAGCTCTTCTATGAATTGCAAAGAAAACCGCCCTAGTTAACGTTTCCTTTAGTAAAACGTTACCTTATAAGAAATATAATTTTTTAAATTCTTTTTAACAAAACAAGATCATCGATTTTTTGAAAAGTTCATTGATTTTTAGCCAAAAAAATCATTGATTTTTTTGGGGAAAAAATATTTCGAAATAAGTTCATCAGCTTTGAAAAACAGTTCACCGATTACTGATTTTGAAAAAAGTTCATCGATTTTGAAAAAAAGTACATGGATTGTGAAAAGAGTTCATCGGTTTTGAAAAAGAGTTCATCAATTTAGAAAAAAAGTTCATCGATTTTGAAAAAAGTTCATCAATTTTCAAAAACAGTTCATCGAGTTTGAAAAAGAGTTCATCCATTTTGAAAAAAAGTTCATGGATTGTGAATAGAGTTCATCAGTTTTGAAAAAGAGTTCATCAATTTAGGAAAAAAGTTCATCGATTTGGAAAAAAATTCATCGATCGTGAAAAAGAATTCATCGATTGTAAAAGAAAGTTCACCGATTTTGAAAAAGAGTTCAACAATTTTGAAAAATAGTTCTTTCAAATTAGCAAAAGAAAATAAAACCATTCCGAAAAGAAGAAAAAAGAAAAAGAACAAAAAACATAACACAACCGTTCCGAATAAAAAGGAAAAAGAAATAGAAAAAAGAAATCGTTGTAAGAAGAAAAGGTGAAGAAGCAGTAGTTTGGGCAACTAATACGAATTAGTGTGCATGAGGTGAACGACCGTGAAGTCGCGGGATCGATTCCCATCCAAAGCACGCCTTTTTTGTCCTCACGACAGGAAGGAAAGGAAAAAGATGGGCCAGGCCCAGTTAATGCGGCTGCAGGCGCCGATTTACGGAAACAGCTATAACCGGCGCCTGCACCGCTAAATAGGAAATGCCTGGTTTCAGGCTGGTTTGATTGTTGGGCGGAGGAAAAGAAGAGGCCGAGTGCTGTCTAGGCCGCGCACAGGCTGGAGGTGATGTTGGGCCAGGATGAAGTGAAGCAGGATGGGTCAAAAGGTTGTGGCGGTTGGAGCAGGCCTGGTAAGATGGACAGGAGTTGAACCGAGAGCAACTAGTTAACAAGCGCTTCTTCGGGAGCCTCGTAACGATCAGCGCCACTTGGCGCGCTCACAGCCATTCGTCACATGTCGCGCTCTGGACGCTCCTTCTGGATTATTTTTTATTTTTTTGCACGCCTTTTCGGCTTTTTAAACGGTTTTTTTAGGTTTTTTTGATGTTTTGGTTTTCCTCCGGTCTTCCTTAGCTTTTCAACCAAAAAACAATTTTTGAAAAAAAAATTTACACGAAAAAACGTGTTTTCTTTTTTTTCTTTCGCGAAAATTCACGGTTTTTCTTCCGCGAGAGCACGGTTGTGCTTTAGCGGGAGTCACGGCTGTGCCTTTCAGAAACGAAAAAAACGTGTTTTCTGTTTTTTTCCCTTTCGCGAGAGTCACGGTTTTGCTTCCGCGAGAGGAACGGTTGTGTTTTGTGAGAGTCACGGCCGTGCCTCTCGGAAAGGGAAAAACAAAACGTGTTTTCTGTTTTTTTCTTTCTTTCGCGAGAGTCACGGTTTTGCTTCCGTGAGAGGCACGGTTGTGCTTTCACGAGAGTCACGGCCGTGCCTCTCGGAAAGGGAAAAGACGTGTTTTCTGTTTTTATCTCTTTCGCGAGAGTCATGGTTTTGCTTTCGCCAGAGGCACGGTTGTGCTTTTGCAAGAGTCACGGCCGTGCCTCTCGAAAACACACAAAAAAAACGCGTTTTTTTTGTTTTTTTTCCTTTCACAAGAGTCACGGTTTTGCTTCCACGAGAGGCACGATTGTGATTTCGCGAGAGGCACGGGCGTGCCTCTTTCGGAAAGGGAAAAAAACCGTGCTCCCGGCTCGGTTTTTCGTCCGGTTTTTTTCATGAAAAAAAAGTTCGTCAAAACCCATCAACATAGGATCTAATTTTGAAGATTTCGACGCGAGGAATCCAATAGTGAAAACGGTTCGAGATTTAGAGACACGGTTTAAGAGATAAAATATTTTGAATAAACGGATCTACGAAAAAAAGGAAAAGCTCCCAGGTTGCGACAAGTGACATGCTGCATGTGCGTCATTTGTCGCGACCTGGAAAGGTGAAGTGTGCTTTGCAACGAGTACTCCTTAATTAATGATTTCGAGTTGAACCGCCTCACAGAATACAGAAGAAAAAAGAAAAGAAAAAACACCGGGTTGGGTTGTGATTAAGTCTCTGCTTGAAAGGCCTTTTGGATTTAGGAACTGCTTTTTAAATTTCTGGAATTCAACCAAAAATCAACTGAAGTTTAAATTTGAACAAGCAAAATAAAGTTCAAATAAAACAAAAATGCAACATGGTTTAGGTTTATGCAAAATTTTAAAACACATAATTTTATTTTGAAATGGTTTCTGGAGATTTGTTCTAAATTCGAGCAAACCGTTTGAATTTATCTGAAAATTTAGTACTCCCGTCGTCCAAAAATTCTTGTCTTAGATTACTCTAGATACGGATGTATGTAGATACGAATAGATACATCCGTATCTAGACTAATCTAAGACAAGAATTTTGGGACGGAGGGAGTAGTTTTTAACATGTAACAGAAATGCAGGTGTCACGCTAAGACAGATCGGAAGGTGTTTAGCACAAGATGTGCAAGAAGCCCCTGTCATCAAAGGTCTAGCAAGCACTTTACACCCATCTGCCGCCTTGACAAGACTCCTCTGCCGGTGCAATCTAGTTCCCGATGTTGCTGAAGTGCTGATCGCCGCTCATCATCCATGCTAGACCCTACTGCTTCGCTCTCTCTTAGTTCTTGTATTTCCCCAAAGTGATGCCACTGCCTGCTATCTTTGCAAGCCGTCTAGTCCCTATTGCTGTATTCGATTTTAATTCCCTAAAGCGTTGCGGCCATGTCGACGGCCAAAGAATGATCAATCACTTTCAACCTTCAATTGGAGTGATATTGTCAGGGGGATGTTACAGACATCGTGCTGCACCATTGCTTGCCTTCAGGAGACGAAACTCCAGCAGATATCAGTCAAGACGCCTACATAGAATTGCTGTGGCGGGTTCGCTTAACTGTCATAAAGGGGGAATCTTTGTTGTTTGGGTGCTCTGCTCACTAACTGTCGGACTCTGTTTTTCTTAGATAGAGCAACCAATCCTTCGAGCTAAAATTATAAGTAATTGAAAAGCATACAATTTTGCTTACATAAGAGAAATTGGAACCACACGCACAAGACAATAATACAATTCAGAAATCGCTAGAACGACGATATAAGTAACACCGACACCAACTATGAAGTATTTATGAATTGTTACGCCGAAGCGCCGTCGGAGGATTGGGTCATAGCTGCTAGTAGTCTTGGCATCGGGGGAGAGCCAACCTCTTGTAGACCCTCAAGGATCTGGACTACTTCAATCATTGTAAGCCTGTTATCCTCATTATCTTGGATGCACCAACATGCAACTTTGCAAACTCTTTCAGCCTCTTCTAAATTGAAGTCACCATGTAATTGCGGATCCATCAAAGTCTGCACATCTCCCTCATGAAGCTTTCTGATGGCTCGCACAGGAAAGTATTCAACATGACCACCAGTACTGCCAGTGCCACTGTGTACTTGAGCTGAATTTCTTCTTCCTGATATAATTTCTAGCAGCACCATACCGAAGCTATAAACATCAACTTTTGGTGTAACAGGAACTCCGGTAAGCCACTCCGGGGCAAGATACCCAACGGTTCCTCTGAATGCAGTCAAAACTCGGCTAAAATCCCTTCCGACGACTGCTGCCATCCCAAAGTCCGCAATTTTAGGAACAAATGAGGCATCTAGAAGTATGTTATGTGGCTTAATATCACAGTGTATGATGCATTTGTGACAACTATGATGCAAGTAGGACAATCCTCTAGCAACTCCTATTGCTATTTGATACCTGGTGTTCCAATTTAGGGCCAAAGCACTGCTCTCAAAAATATGGGCATCAAGAGATCCGTTCAACATGTGTTCATACACAAGTAGCCTATTATCACCTTCGCAGCAGAAACCAATCAATTTGACTAAATTGATGTGTTGGATCACTCCAAGTGAACTCACCTCAGCTCTAAATTCCTTCTCTCCCTGGCGGGCTCCATCAAGCCTTTTCACTGCTATAGTAGTCAAGTCACTTAACACTCCCTTGAATACAGAACCAAAACCACCCGCTCCTAGCTGTTCTGAGAATTTTTTAGTAGCATGAGCCAAATCAGTGTATCTAAAGGCTATAATTCCACCACTACCTTGAGTACCATGTAATGATGCACCACACCACTTGAGTCTCTTCCTCCAAATCATTAACAACATAATGAGTATCAGTAATCCAAAACCAATAATGCTGGCAGCAACAACGACTCCAATGTTTAGTTTCCTTTTTCTGTTTCTCAAACTTGGCAAATCTTTGGCGGCAAGACGAAGGTAAAGTACATCCTGAGCATTGATTCCGATGCCATCATTCAGATTTACACTAAGCAATTCCCCATGCCAGATAGAGCACCCGCTACTGTTATAGGTGTAAGCAGTGCAGGAGCAGGAACCGAGACAAGCTTCTGCGCATTCGCTCTGAGTGGTAGCATTGCCCATGCTTCGGGGTTCATAGGGCAATGTAACACGAGCAATGGGGTGGAACTTGTCCGTTGAATTTATCGTGTTCTTCTTGCTAGTGCACTGCAATGGAGTATTTCTGATGCACCCTCCTGTTCGATCATCAAGGTCCCAACCCTGTGGTGACTTCTGAGAGAATCCCTCCATACAGTCACAGTAAGGATGTGAATTACCAGTACAGACCGTGAATGGCCCACAGGTAGCATACGGAGTGCAGGGATCGAGCGGGTTGGCGTATATACTTTGCCAAGACTGCCCGGCTTCCGACCAAACATTTATCATGACCTGACCAGAGATGTCTATTGAAAAGTATGTAGAAGCTGACTCATTCAACAAAGTGAAGGCATAGTACTCCTCTTCATTGTTATTGACATAAATGGGGTTAATCAAACCTCGGGTCCGGGGATCTATGCCTAGTGTCATGTTGATCAGCTGTATGACGTGCAGTACTGATTTTGGGGATGGCCAATTGAAAAAATGCCAATACACCACTGAGGGGTTGCGGCGCGTGAGGACCATCCCATTGGCACCTAGCTTAATGGTGTACGAGCCCAGACCCGGATCGATGAGGCTCTTCTTTGAGATGGCCTCACGATTCAAGCCGGTGGCCTTGTCCCGGCCAAACTTGGCGCCGGGAAGCACAATATCCGTTGGGTAGTCAAAGCTCTGCCATAGCGTTGCATTGGACGGGCTCCTCTCTACGACCACAAGGTTCCCGCTGTTCAAGAGAACGGCACTAGTGCTCCTATTGACAAGGTGAGTGGATGACCATATGATGGATTCGGTGGCATTGCTTAGTGAGACGACAAGATTGCCATCTTGTGATATTTTGAGCTGCGTTAGCTTGAGGTTGGGGCCAGTGATTGGATTCTCCCTGTTAGCTACCCATACAGGAGTACAGACCGGCTTCCTGTTGAACCAGATGCCAAGATACCAGTTGGGGGAGATGATGTTTGTTCCAGACTTACTGATGCTTGGCCGGAAGAAGCCGAGCGTGAACTTGCCGTTGCTGGAGACGAGCTTGTCGCCAGCGGCGAGCGCCTGGCCTGCCTTCAGAGTATCGTCCGCGGCGGAAGATGATGGTGTGTAGAGAACAAGAGGCCAGAGTAGTAATATGTAGAGAGGAGACATGGCGTGGCGAAGAGGCGGAATGAGAAAGCTAGCTACTCTGCTATATATATGGAGGAAGGGCATGTAGTCGATGCAACTTCCATGCGTGTTCACCGACGATGGGGATACCGGCAACAATGCAGCGGGTCAAGTCAGACGTTTCCTTTGTTTGCCGAGCAGCCAGCCACTGGGTCTGACTCCTTTGTTTGCCTAGCAGCCACTGGGTCTGCCCACTTGTATTAGTAGGCACCATCTAATCATAGACCAGGTGCACGTTCTTGACGAGCTAGCCGCCACTGCCCACTGGGTCTGTCCACTTGTATTAGTAGTGGCACCGTACCATCTAATCATGGACCAGGTACATGTTCTTGACGAGCTAGCCGCCACTGGGTCTGTCCACTTGTATTAGTAGTGGCACCGTACCATCTAATCATGGACCAGGTACATGTTCTTATGAGCTTTCCGCACGAGGGATAAAAATGGAAGTGAGAACTCTCGTGATCGATTTCCGAAATTCCGAAAACTAGCAGGCCGTATTCGATTTCGATACTTTTCGATATATAGTTATCGTTTATGTTTCCATTTTCGAGAAAAAATATATGTGTAAGTTCCACCTCCCGACCACCCCCTACGGTTACCACGCCGCTGCCCCCAAGGAGGCTGATCGACGCACGCACACGATCTTCGACCCCGGCATATTTTTATGCTGGTCTTAACAAAAAAGGATTGAGCTATTTCGGTCACCATCGCCAAACCATAAGAGATCGTCAGAGGATCGTCCCGGGCATGTGTAGACAATAAACCCCAGAAAAAACCACGGTTGTCAACACATGCCATACAGTGTGGATACATAGCACAATCTCATGCATCAACATAATTTACAAACTGAAATTTATATGGACTGTTCTAACTTCCGACTAGTTGGAATTTAGGGACAGATCCGAACGCCCATTTCTCTCGCTTAATTGATAATCACACATCTAATTCTCCTTTTTCCTTAATTGCTAATCCCATTCGCGGCCGATTAAGGACATGTAGGTGTTGATTTGTGATTTCATGCATGCATGCAAACTACAAGACAAAACATATGATGTCAACAAAAGATTATTCCTATTTCGAAACTTTATAAATGTTTTATATCTCAAACCGTCGGTCTGATGAAAAACTTTCTTCACAAATAAGATTCGTCGCGACGAGACCTTCGAAACTAGATCCCATGTTGGCAATGTCCGGCCTCGTGTGCACGAGATACCTGAGGCTCCCGATGACGCTGCGGTAGAACGTCGCGTCCACGGCGATGAGGAGCTGCTCTTGCTCAGCTGACAGCGTGCCTCCCTCCATCGGGGTGTGTGTGGCCTTGCACTCGCCCATGCCATCCCTCTCCAGAAGTTTCCCGGCGTACGCCGCCTGCGTCACCGTGGTCTGGCACCGCCCCTGGCTCACCTTGAGGCCCAGGTTGTACCGGAGGAGCCTGAGGTTGCTCATCCCGAAGAGACGCTGCATCTCCCCTTTGAAGCGGCCCACCTCCTGTTGCCTCACTCCGGTGATGATGAGGTCGTTGACGTATACGTCGACGATGAGCGGATCAGCGTCCCTGCCTCACGTGTACACCCCGTGCTTGGTGATGCTACGAGTGAAGCCGAGGGATACGAGGCTGGCGTCCAGCTTGGCCTTCCAGGTGCACGGGCCCTGGCGCAAGCCATACAACGCCTGATGTAGGTAGTACACCTCGTGCTCGTGTCCGTCGGCGGTGAACCCCAGTGGCTGCGAGACATAGACCTCCTCGTTGAGGTTTCCATTGTGGAGGGCGGACTTGACATGCATGTTGTGCACCTCCCAGCCCCGGTGCGCCGCCAGAGCGAGAAGCAGCCGTACGGACTCGAGCCTGGCTACCGGTGCAAAGACCTCCTCAAAATCCACTCCGGGATGATGCACTTATCCTTTCACCACGAGACATGCCTTGTGCCTGACAATGACGCTATGATAATCCTTTTTTTACCTTGAACACCCACTTGAGGCCTACGGGGCGGTGCCCGGCCGGCAGCCGAGTGAGTGTCCAGGTGTGGTTGTCATCGATCGATTGCAACTCATCCAGCATCACGCGGTGCCACCAGTCCTCGATCTTTGCCTCAGCGACGTCGCCGGCTCCTCCCCGACCAACAGATGCATCACCTTATCATTGAAGAGGCGCTCCCCCAGCTACGGCGGTCCGGTAGGCACGCCGAGAAGGTCATCGACGCGATGGTACCGATGAGGAGTGGTGGTGTTGTCCTTGGCGTCGGACAAGTCTGAGCTTGTCGTAGGTGGAGTCACGGACTTGACTTGGGCAGCGCCGCTCGAGGTGCCGGTGCTCGGGTGCAGGCCTCGGGGTACTGGTGCTTGATGTCTGCTAGAACTACATCGGTATTTCCCAAAAGAGGAAGGGATGATGCAGCACATCAACGGTAGGTATTTCCCTCAATGATGAGACCAAGGTTATCGAACCAGTAGGAGAACCAAGCAACACTACGTAAACAACACCTGCACGCAAATAACAAATACTCACAACTGACGTATTAAAGGGGTTGTCAGTCCCTTTCGGGTAACGGTGCCAGAAATTGGCAGACAGACGTGAGAGAGTTGTAAATATTGATAGATTGAACGCCAAATAAAATAAATTACAGCGAGGTATTTTTGTATTTTTGGGTTTAATAGATTTGAAAATAAAAGGGCAAATAAAATAGATCGCAAAGGCAAATAATATGAGAAAGAGACCCGTGTGCCGTAGTTTTCACTAGTGGCTTCTCTCGAGAGAAATAGCAAATGGTGGGTAAATGAATTACTGTTGGGCAATTGATAGAACTTCAAATAATCATGATGATATCCAGGCAATGATCATCATATAGGCATCACGTCCAAGATTAATAGACCGACTCCTGCCTGCATCTACTACTATTACTCCACACATCGACCGCTATCCAGCATGCATCTAGTGTATTAAGTTCATGGAGAAACAGAGTAATGCAATAGGAATGATGACATGATGTAGACAAGATCTATTTATGTAGAAATAGACCCCATCGCTTTATACTTAATAGAAACGATACATATGTGTCGGTTCCCCCTCTATCACTGGGATCAAGCACCATAAGATCGAACCCACTACAAAGCACCTCTTTCCATTGCAAGATAAATAGATCAAGTTGGCCAAACAAAATCCAAATATCGGAGAAGAAATACGAGGCTATAATCAATCGTGCATATAAGATATCAAAGAAACTCAAATAACTTTCATGGCTAAAAAGAGATAGATCTGATCATAAACTCAAAGTTCGTCGGATCCCAACAAACACACCGCAAAAAGAATTATATCATATGGATCTCCAAGAGACCATTGTATTGAGAATCAAATGAGAGAGAGGAAGCCATCTAGCTACTAACTACGGACTCGAAGGTCTACAAAGACTATTCACACATCATCGGAGAGGCACCAATGGAAGTGGTGAGCCCCTCCCTAGTGGTGTCTAGATTGGATGTGGTGGTTCTGGACTCTACAACGACTGGAATTGATTTTCGTCGACTCCCCTAGAGTTTCTTGAATATTGGGGGTATTTATAGAGCAAAGATGCGGCCTGGGGGGCACCCGAGGTGGGCACAACCCACCAGGGCGCTCCTGGGCCTCCAGGCGTGCCTTGGTGGGTTGTGCTCCCCTCAGAGCACCCCCGGGCGCTTCTCTGGCCCATTGGATGTCTTATGGTCCAAAAAAACCACAAAAAGTTTCGCTGCATTTGGACTCCGTCTGATATTGATTACATGCGATCTAAAAAAATGCAAAATACAGCAACTGGCACTTGGCACTATGTCAATAGGTTAGTACCAAAAAATGATATAAAATGACTATAAAATGATTATAAAACATCCAAGAATGATCATATAATAGCATGGAACAATAAAAAATTATTGATACGTTGGAGACGTATCAGCATCCCCAAGCTTAATTCCTGCTCGTCCTCGAGTAGGTAAATGATAAAACAGAATTTTTGATGTGTAATGCTGCCTAACATGTCATCTCATATTATTTTCTTTATAGCATGGAAATTTGGACTTTTATATGATTCAAAGCAATAGTCTAGTTTTGACATAAGACTTTAATACTCAAGCATATCAACAAGCAACCATGTCTTTCAAAATATCAACGCTAAAATAAGTTATCCCTAGCCCATCATCCTCAATCATTGATCCATTCATGAAACACACTCGCATATTAACTACACCCAATGCTCAAGTACGATCATAGTGCCCCCTAGTTGGTTCTTTATAAGAGAAGATGGAGACTCAAATTAAAAATAAAAATTGCATAAAGTAAAAGAAAGGCCCTTCGCGGAGGGAAGTAGGGATTTGTAGAGGTGCTAGAGCTCAAAGCGAAAATTAAGACATAAAAACATTTTGAGAGGCATACTTCTCCCACCAAAGAAAACGACTTAGAATTCCCAACATTTTCCATGCTAGATATATCATAGGCGGTTCCCAAACAGAAAATAAAGTTTATTCCCTTTTCCACCATACTTTCACTTTTCATGGCTAACAGTATCCACGAGTGCCTTCCATACCAACACTTTCCCTGGAATTTATTATTTGACAACATAAAGTAAATTCATTTTTTTTCATTTTGGGACTAGGCATCCCTAATACCTTTGCCTTACTCTCGTGCAATGACAAGTGAATAAACACTCATCGTGAGAGTAACACATCTACCATGGAAAATATTAGTCACCCCTCACCGCCTCGTGAGCGGTACGAGCACACAAAAGAGAAATTTATTTTGAATATTGGAGATGGAACATAAAATTTTGTTTAGAATGGCAAAAGGATACCGCATATAGGTAGCTATAGTGGACTCATTGGCAAAACTGGTTTAAAAGATTTTGGGTGCACAAGTAGTGATCATACTTAGTGCAAAATGAAGGCTAGCAAAAGATTGAGAAGTGACCAACCAAGAAACAAATAATCTCATAAGCGAGCATTAAGCATAATTAACACCGAATAATGCACCACAAGTATGATGTAATTTCATTGCATGACTATTGACTTTCATGCTTGCATAG